GACACAGATTTAGGTGAAACAAGTAGTAATATGACAATTGCAAAACGTGCTCGTCATGAATTAGAAATCTATTTACAACTGAATTTAACTAATTGTAAATGTTTAAATGATGATATTGACATTCCATTGTTGTTCTGGAAAGAACAAGAACATGTACTACCCAATATGCCACGATTAGCAAAACAAATTTTTTTCATTCCTGCCTCTTTAGCTGAGGTAGAACGCGCATTCAGTTCAGTCGGTATTGTCGTATTACAGAGAAAAATCAATATCAATCCATCTACAGTTAATGATATTATACTTATTCGATCGGCTGCAGCTTATTTGAAGACCCATACATAGATTCCACTTAAGTTTTTTTTTTGTAAAAAGTGATTATTTATAAAAGGAATGTATTATTAAAAATGAAGCATCTGGTAAATACAAAATTTCTTCGGATTCTCATAAAGAATATCCACGGCGTTCGGGCATGACGGGTTTGCGAATTTTACGAAGCGAGTCTCGCGGGGCATGAAAAATGAATGCTCCGCACATCTCTGGTTTAAACTAAAAAGATTATATTAAGATAACTGAATAGTAAAGTTAAAAGTACCTACCTCTCATTTCGCAAGATGTTAAAATTGCATCCTCAGTGAAACATTTGATAGAGTTATAGAGACAATTGCCATTTGCAATGACGTCAATCGGAATCATATTTTGCACATCTAAAGATGTGTGATGAAGATATAATTTGGCTTTTTGGTGTGCCTTATGAATAACTGGGTTGAAATAAGTAATGGGTGCAAGTCTTATCAGTGCTAAAAGCCAGTCCATCTAAATTGCCGAAAGAGACCATATGACTATAAACCTTTTTTGCAAAAACTTACAGCCCCAATTTGTCTACAAATAGTCTTGGTTCGATCATAATAGTCGTCGGCGGTGGATGTCTTGTCAAATTCGATTAAAAGTCTCTTAAATATTTTAAAACGATTTGTTTTGCAACAATTTAAACATCAAGAAGGTATTGTCAATTTAGAAACAAAACAGACATCGGTGGGTGTGAGGTTTAGGTGTAGGTATGAGTGTGAGGTGTGAGTGTGGGGTGTGAGTGTGAGATGCGGGTGTGGGTTTGGGTATTTGTGTGAATGCCCTCATCATGCAAAGACACCCACACCTGAAACGAATTCTCTACCTCAAGGTTGGGCTTTGCTCATACGTAAACCGAACACACTTTTTTCAGACAAACAGCGTGGGTACCTCCAAAAAACTTTTCATGAAGGCGTTCTCAGTGTGAAACATGGGAAACCCAAACAGTTTGTGTTAAATGTGGAGACCGTGAAAGAAAACGCCAACTTATACTTTTCGATTATCGAAGTTTAAAATGAAAATCAAGTTTGCTCATTTTTCTGTCAACTAAAACGCTAACGATAGGGGATTGCCACTCAAAATTTGTCAAGTAGTAAAATCGTCATCGAAGAGAAATTCATCAAAAATACTATTTAGTAATGATACTGAGAACGAGGAAATTGACTCAAAATTTGAAACATTAGACCAAGATTGTCAAGGTATTAAAATTGCTCCACAAGAGATCGCAATGCTAGAAACCTTTAGTATGAATGCTGAAGTGGCACTTGCATCATATCTTTGATGAATTCCCCTGCTGCAACCGCCCCTCTAACATTAAGGAGAAGCAAATAAAATGTAAAACAGAACCAGGTTTACCGGATTAGGTCTAAGTCATTTTAAGTAAATGGGTATGGGTTTACCAAATTATTCCTGTACGAACATACCAATGGACACGGATCTTCCGAATAATGTCCCTCCTCTTCAAGCAGAATGGGCTCAACGTACCAAAGAGGAGAAACACGGATAAGGTTTTCCTTAAACATGGCCAACAATCCTGCGTCTTGTATGAAGTAAGTGTACAACTATTTGAATAATACTTAAACTTCCAGGAAAGTATNGCACGACAATTATTAAAAGCAATGTTCTCCTTGCACGATCTGCATTGGATCGCTGCAGTACTTAATCCACATACAAGAATGCTCAAACATGCTACTGATGTTGAACGTGCGCATGCCTATTTTCTAGAGCGCGCTAGAGTAGCTAAACTTATGGAAATGGCACAGATTGATAATAATGAAGAAGTATTATCTCCAGCAACTATTTTTGATAAACAGTTTGTTCAAATATAAATCAGATAGACAAGACATAAAAACTATCAAATCAGAATATAAAAATGTGTAAGTTCTTATGTTTATCTATTAATTTATTCTAGAATTGAATATCAAAACGAAAACTTTAGACCTTGATCAGATACTGTGCTTTTTTAAATTTATAGTAGCATTATTTTTTCCTTTTTATCTATTTAATAAAGAATATTTATCAATAAATTACACAAAGTCTTAATCAATTTTGTCTTTCATTTTGAAATCATCAAAATCATTCATTTCTATACAAAAAGTTAGAAGATTTTAACTTCTACTATAATTTTATGTCGTTTTAAATAAATAAAGAGTCTTAAAAAATAAATGTATAAACAAATCCATTACAATAATATATATATATATATATATATATCTTTAATATATATTTACAAAATATCTCTTATTAGATATTTTAATTAGTTATTCAATAACTTTCTTTTTTTTCCGAATAAATCGAGTTGTAAAACGAAAATTTCTCTAGAAGTTGACATGAACCAAAATTATTGGTTTTGAATAATTGAAATAGGAGGAATGAAGACATAGGGTGTGGGTGTGGATAGTGTCTTTGTTTCTCCACCCACACCCATACCCAAATCACTAAATTTCTCATAAATGTGCGAAAGAATCAACATCAATATCTACATCACTTAGGTATTTTAATTACCATCTTTTTATGCGATCTATTTTTTCTATATTTTTAGTACTAAATCACCATCCTTGAATTCGAAAACAAATCGATTTTCTTCCTGAAAGAAAAAGACATTAACATCGTTAATTGCACTATGGATGTATCAAAGTATCCGTTCTATCATCATTGTTGAAGATGAAGGTTTCTTTTAATACTATCCAACAGTGTTTTAGCTGAAATAGTGGTGACACATTTATTAAAAGCTTGAATCGATATTCATTTCTCTATTTTTTTTCTATTAGGTTCATTTAATAATATAAATGGTAATGATATATTACCATCAAGATCGACATTTACGAGAGAAATTATTCGACAAGCAAATGATATTTGTGAACGTCTAGGTATTATTTTTAGAAAAAGAGCTAAGCAAGAATGTTTAGCTATAAGTTCAGATTTATGGAGTGACGAATTCAAACAAAACAGCTGTCTTGGGTTTACTGCTCATTTTGCTGATGATCAGCATATTTTACAGTCTATTGATCTTTTTTGTGAACCATATAATGAAATAGATAAAACAGCAGGGAACGTATTAAAAGTTTGAAGCAATATTGAAACTAATGTTCTGTTTCTATTTTTTTTTCTTTTTTCTTTTTGTTGATCTCATTTAATAGTCAATTACGGCTGCCCTTTCTCGTTTTGGATTTGATCAGTTAATGGATAAAATAACTTTTTTTTGTGATCGTGGCAGTAATCTGATAAAAGCATTAGAAGATTATCAAGTGATTCATTGTTTTTCTCATAGACTAAATAATGTGTTAAAACGAACATTTTACAGTGCAGGTACCAAAGAAAAACAACAGAGAAAACAAAGAAAAGAATCATTGAAAAAGAATCAAAATGATGATCAATTCAATCGGAATAATTCAAATGATGATGATAATGAATGTCGTATGTATTAGGATGATAGGGATTCAAGTGAAAGTGAATCTGATGACAATGTTGTTCTTGATGAAAAATCTGTTGAATTAACTTTGAGAACTTTATCATCATCACCTGAACGTGATCATGTTAATGTATTAGAAAAAAAAATCTACCACCTTATGCTGCTCAAGTGCTAGCAACAATAGTTCGTTGTAAACAATTATGTTGCTATGTAAAAAGGGTATTTTCAATTTTATCCAATGACAAATATATTTTTCTTAAGAGCTTTCCATCTGTATTTCATTTAGGTTAATTGGAATCCTAAGCTGGAAGCATTAAGAAAGCCAACGATCAAACAAGAAATAATTGTTTGATGACTCACGATGTCACAATTGCTAGAAAATATTTTGTCGTCACATTCAGCTTTAACAAGTATTGCAAGTGAGAAGGGTGCCCTTCACACTCTTCCTGCAGTTGATGTATCAACTGTAGCTACTATCAATGGTTTATTCTTACCATGAAAAGATGTGATCAAACGTTTACATGCGAGTAAGACACCATCTATCCATCTAGTAGTTACATCTTACTGGTATCTTCTCGAAAGTCTGGTAGGAATGAAGGATGAAGTAGCTGATAAAGCAGCCAAAGATAAACCATTCTTAAACAAATAACTCAGTAAAAATCTATCCTTTTTACAGATGTTGTCATGTTTAAAAGATGTGCATGATAATTATTAGAAGCAATGCTCTATTTGCACGATCTACATTGAATCGCTGCAATACTCAATCTACATATAAGAATGCTCAAACATGCTACTGATGTTGAACGTGCGCATGCATATTTTCTAGAGCGAGCTAGAGTAGCTAAACTTATGGAAATGGCACAGATTGATAATAATGAAGAAGTATTATCTCCAGCAACTATTAGTCCAATACCACCAACTCGCAAAAAGTTGAAGTCCTACACAACACAATTTCATGATGACACAGATTTAAATGAAACAAGTAGTAATATGACAATTGCAAAACGTGCTCGTCGTGAATTAAAAATCTATTTACAACTGAATTTAACTAATTGTAAATGTTTAAATGATGATATTGACAATCCATTGTTGTTCTGAAAAAAAACAAGAACATATACTACCCAATATGTCCCGATTAGCAAAACAAATTTTTTCTATTGCTGCCTCTTTGGTTGCAGTAGAACGTGCACTCAGTTCAGCCGGTATTGTCGTATCACAGAGAAGAGCCAATATCAATCAATCAACAGCTACTGATATTATACTTATTCGATCGGCTGCAGCTTATTTGAAGACCCACACATAGACTCTACTTAAGTTTCTTTTTCGTAAAAAGTTATTATTTATAAAAGGAATGTATGGAGTGGGTGCTGCGAGGCATGAAAAATTAATGCCTCCCACATCTGTGGTTTAAACTAAAAAGATTATATTACGATAACTGAATAGTAAAGTTGGAAGTACCTACCTCTCATTTCGCAAGATGTTAAAATTGCATCCTCAGTAAAACATTTGATAGAGTTATAGAGACAATTGCCATTTGCAATGAAGTCAATCGGAACCATATTTTGAACATCTAAAGATGTGCGATAAAGATATAATTTGTCTTATTGGTCTACCTTATGAATAACTTGGTCGAAATAAATAATGGGTGCAAGTCTTATCAGTGTTAAAAGTCAGTCCATCTAAATTGCCGAAAGAGACCATATGACTATAAACTTTTTTTGCGAAAACTTACAGCCCCGATTTATCTACAATTAGTCTTGGTTTGATCATAATAGCCGTCAGGAGTGGATACCTTGCCAAATTCCATAAAAAGTGTCTTAAATATTCTAAAGCAATTTGTTTTGCAACGATTTAAGCAGCAAGAAGGTGTTGTCAACTTAGAACAAAACAGACATCCGTGGGTGTTCGGTGTGGGGGTGAAATTTGAGTGTAGGTTTGGGTGTTTGTGTGGATGCTCTCATCATATAAAGACAATCACACCTGAAACAAATTCTCTACCTCAAGGTTAGGCTTTGCCCATTCGTAAACCGAACACACATTTTTCAGATAAATAGCATGGGTACCTTCAAAAGAAATTTTGATGAAGGCATTTCCAGTTTGAGACATGAGAAATCCAAACAGATTGTGTTAAATGTGAAACCTTGAAAGAAAACGCCAAGTTATACTTTTTGATTATCGACGTTTAAAATGAAAATCAAATTCATTCATTTTTCTGTCAACGAAAACACTAACGACAGGGGATTGCCACTCAAAATTTGTCAAGTAGTGAAATCGTCATTGACGGGAAACCCATCAAAAATACTATTTAGTAATAATACTGAGAACGAGGACATTAGTTCAGAATTCAATACATTAGACCAAGACTTTCAACATATTGAAATTACTCCCCAAGAGATCGGAATGCTAGAAAACTTTAGTATGAATGCTAAAATGGCACTTGCAACATATCTTTTGATGAATTCCTCAGCTACAACCACCCCTCTAACATTAAGAAAAAGCAAATAAAATATAAAACAGAACCAGGCTTACCGGATTAGGTCTAAATCATTCTAAATAAATGGGTATGGGTTTACCAAATTATCCCTGTATGAGCATACCAATGGACATGGACTTTCCGAATAATGTCCCTCTTCTCCAAGCAGAATGGACTCAACGTGTCGATGAGGAGAAACACGGATAAGGTTTTCCTTAAACATGGACAACAATCCTGCGTCTTGTATGAAGTAAGTATACAACTATTTGAATAATACTTAAACTTCCAGGAAAGTATAAATGAACGTTACTCGGCTTGTAAAGTGTTTTCAGCTCTTTTGCATAACATGATGCTTATATAAGATTTGCTAACGCTAACCCATTTTACTTTCATAAATTAAAATAAATGACAATTCAATAGTTTATAGAGACTATATGTTCATTGAAATATATTGTACTTGTGTAAAAAATACTTTAGATACATCATAGTCTTCTTAAAACTTTGTTTTTTTTTTCAGAAAAATATTCATAATAATTTTTCCTCATAGACACCGCCTAGTTAATCAACCTTGTAAGCTATTTTTGGACATCGTTTGAAACTTTTTAATTTTTTTATAACTGTTTTGCAGAGGAAAAAGAGTGGTACAACATGTAAAACATTCAGCGTGGGATCTCTTAAAATGACTAAATGGACGCTGATGCAGTGTAATATATTGCTCGAAAGCCGACTCATTTTCCACTCGAAATTAGTGAGTCAGGTAGTATTTCATAGATAACTCTCGATTAGTCCATGAAAATCTAACATATTAAAAGATGATTTTGTTCAGCGTTCGAAGTTGTATCTTTTGGTCTATTACACGAAAAAATTCATTAAATTATTATCATCTGAAAGAAACTTAACTTTCTATGTAGGATTTTTTATTGTTTTCCTCAACTAGGACTCTTACCCATCCACCTCCACCCCCTGACAAATGCAATTGAGCTAACTTTTCAATGGCTCAATCAAATGTTCTAAAATTTTGAATTTGAAGGTTTTAGATGATGCTGAACAAAATGAGAACATTAAAAAACAATCGATATTTTATCCAGTACTTCGATATCTGCCACTGTACTCGATCATCTCACGGACTTTCTTAAAAGCTTGAAGCTTTCTCATGGAAAAGTCAATTTCGTCAAATAAGATCTGAAACAAATGTTGAGTTCTTTAGGGAAAGAAATTTAAATCTACCTACCTTTTCTCCCCATGGATCGTGACAGGCAAGGCATAGAGTTTGTTTATCGTCTCTTGTGTAAGTTAGTAAATATCTCTTTTGCCTTTTAAAACTTAATTACTAAATTATCGTTTATATGACCATTGATTCATAGATTCCAAGTTGAACTTGACTTTGCTTGCAAACGAGACAAAATTGAGGGTTTTTTAATTATTCTATTATCACAAACAAACAAAATATTACGCTTTGTCGTCAAAAATAGTATCATTCATTACACTACAGGAAACGGAATACTCTTGTTGTATCTTACTCCGTTTTAAAAGTTTTTTTTTCGTGTTGAAGTTTTTTTTTCATACAACAAATTAATTGATACCTTCACTTCAACGTTTATTTTATTGTGGAACTCACGCATATTTTCGAAGAAAATAGTCAACGTAAATTTTAAGGCCAAGGTTTTCCAACTCTCCTTCTCCCATCCCATTATAAACAGACCATTATTCCCAAGGGGGAAACATCGTACTTTTGTACTTTAACTACTTTGAGCTACTTCGAGGTACTTCGAGGTACTTTGCAGTACTTTGAAGTATTTTAAAGTACTTTGACATACTTTTGGAGTGTCTTGAATTATTTAAAAACAAGTTGTTTAGAAATATAGATTCCATAGATTTTTCCCGTTTTTTTGCATGAATGACAATTTTGCATTGACTTACGAGGGAACCGTCCGAAGTGATTAACCGCTTTTGAGTTCGGACTCTATACATAAGACAGACCCTAATGAGATATGAAAAACCCCAAAAGGACAAGTGCCCATAGGCCTTCTCTA